TCGGGCTCGTCAGGAGTGGGCAGCGAGGTTTATGTTCAAGAGTTTACTTTATGTCCGTCAGGATCTTCCTGTTTTCATGCCCGACGGGGCCATTTAGGGTGCTTGACCACAAAATGAGATATAAGATATGAATAATTGCGTGGTGTTTGTAATCTGCGTGTTTGGCTGACGAGCTGCAGAGCTCTGGGAGGGGCGTTGTTGTCTGTGCAGACTTATTGTTAGTGCTGGTTTGTCCTTCCTACAAGCTCCTGAAATAGACAAAGCATTTATTTTCTTGTCACTTCTTACTAATCAAGCCAAACACATCTGAGATTTAGTGCTTCAGACACGTATAGATAACAATAATGTCACTGTGATACCACAGTAAGTGTCTGAGTTTGTTTAACCGTGCTCTGAAAGTGTGCGATGTGTCATATTTAGGCGTGTTTGGGAGCGACGCATGTCAGCACAGCTGTCGTTTATAGACGATCTTTGTGGTGATGAGGAATTTCCTGGAGCACCAAAGGTTGCACATGATATCAGTGTGAACCTGGTCTTAGGGGTCAGCCTGTAACTAACGTGTAACTAATGTGTAACTAATGTGTAACTAATGTGTAACTAATGTGTAACTAATGTGTAACTAATGTGTAACTAACGTGTAACTAATGTGTAACTAATGTGTAACTAATGTGTAACACTGACAAGAAGACGAGACTGTTGTGATCCTTATCAGGAGATATCTGTCAAACAAAGCTACATTATTAATTTGTGAGTCTCTTTGAAGATGTGATGGATGAATAAGGTCAAAGAGAACAAGAACATCTGAATCTTTAGCAGGTTGTCAGGCTGACTCTGACTTGACTGAGTTTAATAAGAGAACATGCAGAAACCGGCTGAGTGTGCCTTTGTTTTTCTTACAATAAACAACCTGACAACATCCCCTACGCCTCGTGTCAAGAAACAAAATAATCCGTTTGTAGCTGAAGTCGTTATTTATCATCTTATTATTTTCTTTCAGAGTTCAAACGGGTTCAGGAGAGAGCGCGTTCCTGGCAGGCGCGGCGTACTCGCTCGGTTGGGCGCAGCCCTTCACGTCTCGAAACTAAAATCAGTATTTCACATATTTGTTCTGTTTTTGCCAAGTTTGGCACCGAGGCTGTTTCTTCTCCACAGCATCTTCTTCATTTTTTACA